TTCGATTATCGACTCCACGCCGTCGCACGCAGCCGGTGTTCTCATGAAATTCGTTTGCCCGCCATAAACGAACAATGGCGGCTTCGATGGCGGTAAGAAACTGGATTTACAACGACGCTGGGGAAAATTGAATAAATTAAATTACCGTGGCCGATGCATACGGAATTCGATACCTTCGCGGTTACCCTTGAACTTGCCGGATAATCGATACAGTAAATGACGCAGGGGTTTCGCAATTAACGACTGATTCCGAAATCGTTCGCGGACGAGGTTTTTTTCTCGTTCCCCTCCAACCCGTCGCGTATAAACATACGTTGATGGACGGAATTACAAGAGGCACCCCCTTCGATCCAATACACATGTGTGCGTAAGTGTGAACACGCCATACGGAAGAACAACACGAGCGGAAAAAGATTATTCTGGTAAAAATAGAAATTTCGCAAGGGAACGAGGAGGGTGGAATTTCAAAGAAATTACAAGCGGAGTCGTTTGGAATTTAATTATTAGTAAAATGGTAAAGAAGCATTCGTGAGAAATTTCAAAATGAATTTCTGCACTTGTGCCGCAATAAGAAATTTTCCAAATCTCAAGAAATCTGTTTTCTTAATTTTCATAGCAAATTATAAATAGCTCAATCCTATTGCTCAGTAGTTCTACTGTTAATCTCTCCAAATCTCAAGAAATCTACTTTCCTAATTTCCATAGCAAATTATAAATATCTCAATCTTATTCCTCATTAGTCCTGTTAAACAATCTTTACAAATCACTGTACATACACATCTCAACTAATATAAATAAATCATGTGTAATTCAATGATATTATACCCAAATAATAACGGGTGTCACATAAACTCGGCATGTCATTTGTCGATTACCGGTGTCAGTCGTGTCGGTCCGCATTATCTAAGGACTTGACGGTGGTCGTCACGATTTCACGCGCATTTTTCTCGCGCATCTAGGAAAGGGAATCGTCTTAGCCACGCGTTTCGTCTAGGGCGGAACGAATCACAAGAGAATACAGTTCACTGGCGCGCGAGAGAACGTGCATTCCGGTGTGTGCGCGGTGCATGTGTGTGTACATAGCAAAACAAATCGATGATGTTTCGTCGTGTTGTGTAACGGGACGCCCTCTTTCAGAGTGTTGCTTACCAATTGCCGCGATATAAGTCAAATGTCGTGCGCCGTTGGCGGCGATCTGTGCTTCTGTATTGTCTGGGGAAAAAAGCGTGCGTAATCCTGCGGCAGCAAAGCGGAGGGAAGGGTTGGCAAGTTGTCGCCTAGGAAAACTCACTTCGTAGCACGTACAAATATTCCTAGGAACATATTCAAATGAATTCCAGAAATTCTACGTACGAAAATAGGAGAAAGAATTTGCTGAGCACGATGACGAATTTTCTGCTACTATTTTAACCCTTAACCCTTTGTACTCGAAAGGTGACTCTCAGTCACCACTTGATTTGACACAGCAAAACTATGAAGTTGAATATTCAGTATTTTAAATTAAAATTACATTTTGCTATGTGGAATATTTGAATGAAATAGCTTTGTTGTTTGATTTATCTGTGAATTATCGTTAAATTTCGAACAGTGTCATCTATCTGGTACACACACTTATGGTTTCTATAAAGAAATTTGTAAAAGTCAGTTTAAGTGATCGGTAGTTCGAGTGTTAACACATTGTGTATAACGAGAAGACTCTTAGCTATATAACTTTGCTAATTACCACAGCATTTAAAGAAATATTAAATTTGATTAGAACTAATTGTCCGTTTTAAATATGTTACACAACAATATGATACCTGAGTCTTTTTTTATAGATAGTTGAAGTTTTGTGTCAGTCAACGTGTTAAACGCGAGTCAGCAGACAGACAAAGAAAAATCGAAGATGTTCAATAGAGCAAAGACGTTGCACGAGTAAAAAGAGAAAGGTATTCACTCTGCTCTACTGATCTCCCCGATAAAACCACCTACTGCGATCATTAACACTAGGTTTACGGAACGCGTGAAATTGACGCATATTGGATTTTATAAACATTATTTGGTAAATGTTTCAATCGGTTTTCGTTGATCCAATTACACGAATATGAATCCTGATTGTCTATTTCTACATCTACAATTTCCAAAATCTAAATAAACGAATATCAACTTTCCCAGGAACAATAGAATAAACTGTTCAATAAATGCCCGTAAACCTAGTGTTAACACGTCGACTGCCATAGTGGTCACCGGTGACCGAAGCTTCAAAATTGCTTAAATACAATTACAATTAGAAAACTGATCTCGAATAAAAATACTTGCTAACACTAACAGCTAGATGATAGTGTAACACGTGTTCTATGATGCCAAGTGATTAATAATTATTTCTAATATCATTTGCCTTTGTTACGAAAGAATATGTATCGTTACACGAAACGTTCGAAAATTCTCGTGGCAGTGAACGTGTTAATGATTTTCCTCCATCCCGTACACCGAGTCAAATCTTTCCCAGCGGTACGGAGCATGCGTCGTCCACCTGATTTCGATTTCTCGCCCGTTTACGCCGGTTCACATTGTTTACCTGGAAGTTGAGAGATAAGACGCTGAAAATCTTAGTTCTACAAATATTGCCCGGGGAAACACACGGTATCGTGGGTAATCTAGATAGGCCTATCATTTGAAGAAGCAACGATTACGTTCGAGACACCGTACGGGGATGGTACTTACTTACACGTTACGGTAATTTCGGTCAATATTGTCAGACAACTTTGTTTGATGTTACAATCGACTAGAAATATTTTCATGGAAAATAATTATTCGCTGAAACATGTGTACAGCGTGGGGAACACCGTTGGAAATTCAATCCTTCGCACTAGAAAAATTTGTCACTAGAAATATTCAATTTATTTTTATGAGATATAGATGATTTTTCAACTAACTTAACGAGGAATCTATTCACAAAATAAGGGGAACAATGTATTGACAGCTTACTCAAGATCTAATGTTAACACTAGAACTCCAGATGGTTTTGTAATCTATCTGCAACTAATTTTTATAGCATCCCTAGCGAAAATGAAAAATACTATAACATACCTTAGATCTTTTATTTTCCTTAGTGCAAAATTTGGATGTGTGGAAAATCTAATTTTAGGGTAGTTTCTTTAAGATTCATTAAATAATAATATTAAATATCAAATTTTATAGTTTTACTACATGAAATCAAGTGGTGCACTGAGAGTCACCTCTCGAGTGCAAAGGGTTAAATTTGATAAATAATACCGAACATAAAACGTTGCCACGTGCGATAGACGTCCAGTTACTGACCGCAGCCGACAGTGTCTGCTGTGTGTTCTGCGCACGTGGATGGTCAATCTACCGCTCCCGCCAAACGGATTTGCCGATCGCCTATAAGCGTCCGCTGCGACGGAGCGGTTAAGGATCAAGGACGAATTCATACAGGGTCTAATAGGATTATTATGGAAGACCTTCGTTTTCTGAACAAGGATAATTAAAGGAACACTTTCGCAGCAGTTAGACGAAAATTTGAAACTTTAGATATTTTATATATTTTTCTGTGTGATTTGCATTTTGTTGAGTTTTGCACTTCCAAATTCCCCATGAATGGAGTCTAATTATAATATTATTGAAAATATATCATTCTTCGATTAATTTTGAAAAATGTTCAGAAGTACCAAATTACAAAGCTATTTCATTTCAATATTTCACGTATCGAGGGATTATACAAAGTTCAATATTAAATATCAGATTTTATCATTTTACTGTGTCAAATCAAGTGTGCAAAGGGTTAATTGTTTAGTCATAAACAAAATAAAAAAAGACCAACAAGGCTTATTGTTATAAGATTAAAAATAAATAAAAACTCCTGAAGATATATAAGTGTATAGGTCTTTCATGTGCTCTATAATTTATCCACGTTAGAAATGACTAATTAGTAATAATGTTTAATTAGATATTAATTCCGTACGAATTGTTCTTTTCAGACGCCTTGTTGCAGCAAGGTATACACGTGTCGATTCTGTCACGACGAGCGGGAAACTCACACGGTAAATAGAAAGGAAATCACAGAACTAATATGCGTTCTGTGCGACACCCGTCAGCCGGTACAAGCTACTTGCCAGAACTGTCAGTGTCGGTTCGGCAAATACACATGTCTCGAATGTAATCTCTTCGACGACGAAGATAGGAATCAGTACCACTGCGACGGTTGTGGGATATGTCGAGTCGGTGGTCGCGATCGATTTTTCCACTGTGCCAAGTGCAACATGTGCTTGCCAATTCAGCTGCAAAATGGACACACGGTAAATGATCTGTGCGACGATAAAACTGTTTGCTCCATTAATTGTATGTAATGAATGCGAGCTCGATTAAATGAAGTTAAAGGTATTGGAAAATTTTGCTTGTTAAACTCTATCTGATACTGTGTATGAAATTCAATGTGTATTGATATTTTTGAAATAGTATTTATTACATTTCATTTGAGACATTACATACATTAAAAGAGCAGATAATTTTAGTGGTAATTAAACTGAATGATAATATAATAATACCTGTTTGTTATTTTTAGTGTGTGGAAAACGTTTCACATTCAAATTGCCCTGTTTGTCTGGAGGACATCCATACAAGTCGTATACCCTGTCACATTCCAGAATGTGGTCACTTACTGCACAGCCGCTGTTTTGAGGAACTGTTACATTCAGGACATTATGCTTGCCCTATTTGCCAAGTGTCTCTTCTAGATATGACTGACTTATGGAGATTTTTAGACATGGAAGTATCATTGACGCCAATGCCAGAGGAATATAGAGATTATAAAGTTGACATTCTCTGTAAAGACTGCCATGAGGTAGAATCTCTCACTTATATATTTCTCATTTATTGAACAGTAAAGTTATTCATGAAATATTTCTTTGCATTCCAGGAGTCGACGGTCAAATTTCACGTTGTAGGTTTGAAGTGTTTAAATTGTGGAAGTTACAATACCTGCAGAGTCAAAGGATCTCCTTCTCCAGGTAAATTAAATAAGCCTATTTATTCCTACTTCATCTTACTTAAGTATGTTTTAAATATCGTCATTCTCTACTTTAGCGGATCCTGAAACGTTGGATGATACAGCTGGTGGTAGCACGAATACGGGCGACGAAGAGAAATTGCAACGTCCGAACTCCGAGTATTAACGGGAAAATGATGTACAATTGTTCCCCCGGCGTTTTCAAAAAGACAGTAGGAGAAATCGTTTACCTCTTTACTTGTTTTTAGCGAATTTACACGTCTTTGTTGATTGTTTTCAGACTTTTTATAGAAGTTACTTTGTTAGGAGGCTGAAAAATGTGGCGGCTAATGGAAATCAGTTGCTCATTGAAGGTCGTGTTGAATGTGATTAAATGCCCGCGATACGACGTCAGGCGTACCGCGGGTATCATTAATCCTGGAAATGAATATGAAGAACTCGAATCATGAAGAAACGTATGGTTTTCTGTTCGCGAAGATTTTATTTGATAATTATTGATTGAAGTGTGTGTACAGTACGGCACGTTCTCGATATTTTTCATTACCGGTGGCTCGATGCAAGGGTCTCGCCTGTTCCCCCTCCCCCCCGAAAAAAATGTTTCTTTTCTCGCGCTCTGTGTATTTTGAATTTTCGTTCCGAAATAGAGATTCTTATACTTCGTAACGCGTGACCAATTT